GGTGCAGGCAGAGCTGTGGGTCTGGGTGTAGGCAGGGCTGGGAGTCTGGGTGCAGGCAGGGCTGGGAGTCTGGGTGTAGGCAGGGCTGGGGGTCTGGGTGCAGACAGGGCTGGGGGTCTGGGTGCAGGCAGCCCCATATGACTGGAATACAGGCAACACTGTGGGGCCAGGCAGAGGCAGTCCCAGGGGGTCTGGGTGCAGGCAGCCCTATGGGGCTGGGGTATGGGCAGTCCTATGGGTCAGGGGGTATAGGCAACCCCATGGGGCAAGTTACAGGCAGCCCCATAGGTCAGGGGTAGCAGCAGCATCACTTGCAGGGGGTGCAGGAAGCCCTGTGGGTCTGGGAGACACAGAGACCAGAGAACCCAGGCAGCCATGGATTGTGGGGGTACAGGCAGCACCATTCACCAAGGGGTGCAGGGAGCCCCACAGGCCTGGGGGCACAGATAGCCACATGGGTCAGCACCATAACAGACACCCACAGGCAGGGATACACCCGTGCAGCCACACACAATGGTGCAGTGACAGGTTAAGGATACAGAGTGACTGGGTACAGGCAGACAGACATGTATAGATGTGCTAAGGGAAATAAGCAGCTATTTCAGCAAGTAGATAGGCACAAATAGGCAAATAGACATAGGAATAACTAGAAAGTTATACAGATATATGGATAAAGGGATATGGACATATATGCCTAACTGTGTCTGAGGGAACTGAGGGTGTTTAGCTTGGAGAAAAGGAGGCTGAGGGGAGACCTTCTCATTCTCTACAACTGCCTGAAAGGAGGTTGCAGCGAGGAGGGGTGAGTCTCTTCTCCTAAGTAACAAGTGATAGGATAAAAGGAAATGGCCTCAAGTCACACCAGGGGACATTAGATTGGTTATTAGAAGAAACTTATCCATTGAAAGGGTAATTAAACAGTGGCACAGGCTGCCCAGGGAGGTGGTTGAATCACCATCCCTGGAGGTAGAGTTAGGTTAATGGTTGGTAGAATTACATTATGGTTGGACTCAATGATCTTAAAGGTCTTTTCCAACAAGACCAATTCTGTGCTTCTGTGATATGTAGATAAAGGGGATAAATGGATAGATGGATAATGATGCCAGCTGAATTTCTGCACTGCCAGGGCTGCAGCCCGTACATTTCCAGGCAGCATTTTCCAGACTCTCTGACATGGGAAGGCACTTCCATCAATGCTGGATGTAAGTGGTTGTGCCCAGTCTTCAGCTGCCAGCTGGTACTCAAGAGCCAGGAAGGTGATTTCCCAGCAGCACAGTGACAGCACACTGCAGGTGTGCTCCACACACACATTTTTATTGTCATTGCATCTAAGCACTGCAGCAATGACAATGCAACACATATGGATGGCAGTGTAGGTGGGTGACGGGAACCTGTGGGATCACACACTCCCATTCATCCCAGGTGGATCCCCTTGTCCCTGTGGTGATATTCACCCATTCATCCCCACACTCGTGGCCCCCAGGGGTCCCCTCACCCACCAGTGACATGCACCCACAGGTTCCCACTTGGCCATTCATCACACAGTGTCTCAGACCTGCTCCCCTGGGAGAAGCCCCCTCTGTGCTGGGCTTGCACAGCTCCCTGCCCACTGAGAGTGTCCCAGATCAGGAAATGCAGAGCACAGATATTTTAGGTTCAGTTCACCCGATTTTGGCAGCAAAGCTGAACAGGAATATAGCACCTTGATCCACACAGTATTTTCAACACCTGCCCCAGGACAACTCTGTCCCCTGCAGCAGGGATCCTCCAGCCACACACGGTGTCACAGCCACACATGGTGTCACACAAGGGCACCCGTGCTCCCATCCTGCAGCCCCTGTTTCCCTAAAGATCCCCATTCCCAGTCGGTTTTGGATCCTGACCCTCCTCAGATCACCCCAGCACCGACCCTCACCGCCCAACCTTCCTCCCCTCCTGCTGCCTCGAAGCACAGGGCGCTGCTCCAGGCACCCCTGCATCCCACAGCTTTGTCCTTGAGGAATTCATTTGTACTTATTGCCGTCGGGGGAGGGGGGTTGGCGGGCGGTGGAAAGGAAAAAATGAAAAAGCAATAACAGAATGTTTAGGGGCAGAGAGGGCAGATAAAAAAAAAGATTCTAAAATGCACCTGGAGCACCGCTGAACCGTGGGGGCTTTTCCCGGGAAGGGATGGAGGCTCCGGGGTGGTGGCATTTTGGGACCACTGTCGTCCTGCCAGCAGACGGGACGTTTGTTTAGGAAAGTGTCTTGGAAGGTGTGATGTGCGGATAGGATAAGTCGGGGGGTTGGTAGCAGAAAGCAGGACTGTCCCCCCAGCTCGGACCCCTTCCTGCTCACGCGTTCCCGCTGTTGTAGGTGGAGGGGTTGATGCTCCCGGCTTTTCCCCTTGCTCCTTGTCGGCTAGATCGGGAGAAGTCAGGAGCGGGCAGGCAGGGGATCAGCAGAGTCCCTGCCCCCCCTCACTCCATCCCCAAGCCCCCCCAAAGGCCGGCGGGGGGGGCGGGGGAGGCGGGACCCTCGGTGCCGCCCCGGGATGGCTCCGGGCTCTCGCACCGACTCGCCCCTCTCCTTCTCAGCCACCCCTTCCCCTGATGCTGCCGTTCTGCCCCCCAAAAAACAGGGGTGCAGCCGGGCCCAGTCCCCTTGGACTTGGGACCCCTCCTGCTTTTCACATCCCAAATCTCACCGGCTGCTCTCCTTCAAGCCAGCGCCTTGGAAACCCCACTGGCTGCATCTCCACATCCCCTATACCTATAGGTACATACCTATAGACATATATACCTATAGATATATACCTGTAGGTATATAAACCACCCACCCGAGAGTACAGGTACGTTGGTGGCCGGTTGCCCCGGGGTGGCCGGTACCCGCAGCGCCCGGACCTCCTTCCCTTCCCCCCCTCCCAGACCCTTTCCCAGGCATGGAATAATTAAAATAACTAAAAATAAAATTAAAATAGGTGAAAAATGCCTATGCACAGCAGCTGCCGGCTGCCTTTATCCCTTTGGCTCTATTAAAACCACACTTGCCTGACCTGGGTTGTTTTATTTTTTCCATTTTTAAACCATTTTTTTTCCTGATTTTTATTTTTTTTAAATTCGCTTTTCAGCAGAAATTTTTTAATCGACTTCTCCTCTTCTCTCTTCCCTCATCCCGAATCCCTAAGATGTTTTCTTTTGGTTGGAGTTGCATTTACCAACACCCGGAGCTTTAACTTCTACAACAGCCGCGGGATTCGCTTCCATGCGGGGGAAAAAAAACCCCACAACAACAACAACCAAACGAAAAACCCAAACCAAACCCAGCATCGTATCCATTTATTTCCTCTCTAGGGGAGGGAAGAAGGGGTGGAAAGGAGAGTGGCAAGGCCGAGGTTTGTTCCGCAGGGTTATTTTCAGCCAGATTTCGTTAAACGCTTCGCTTCCCCTACGAGCGCGGTCGGGAATCGCAGAGGTGAAAAAAAATCTCCTCCGAGTGCAGAGCAGGGATTTTTTTGTTCCTTTTCTTGTGGCTCCGCTCTGCTGCGTCCCATCCTCTGCTTTTTCGGGACAAGAAGGGTCCGAAATCCTTCCTCACCCACCCTGCTGTTAATTCGCACAGAACTGGGGCTCGGGCTCAGCTCCTCACGACATTAATTTTTGGGGTGAGCACCCCCGGGGATGTGATGCTGGGCACTAAGGACCGATATTGCCCCGCGGAAAGGGGCTGGATCCGGCCACGCACACGCAAAACCCACAGAGGAATTATATATATATATATTTTGATGCTTTTTCGTGGCAGATGCAAAACCGAAGCAGGTCCTTTCCAATCGTCTTTGCTCTTGGTAAAGCTGCTCGGGCGGTTTAAATCGGTTTTAATCGGCTTCTTGCTCGTGCTTTTATGGTAAAAGAAAGCGCTGATATTCAGGAAGAATTCAACTTTGGCGAAGAAAATCGCCAGGGACTTTGCAAGGCGTGGAGAGGATGTGGATCCGAAGCACAGCACATCTGGATCCGCAGCTGGTTTTTTTGGGGGGGAGAAAAAAAGACAATGAAAAAAAAAAGACATCGAATTATTTCATTTCCCCTTATTTATCTGCTTGCCCGTAGCCCTGTGTTCATAACCATAATTTTTTTACATATATACATGCACACAGCGTGGTACAAATCACACCATATATTTAGGTATATATACATGCTTTTTTTTTTTTTTTTTTGCAATACACGGCATGACCTCCCATCTACGTGCCCTGTTTGCATTGGAACGTATAGAACTGCGTTCTTATTGCTACATACATATTAACGTGTAAATATCTCCCACGCACACGGGGGCACCTCTGCAGATTTTTCTCCCTGTCGTACTTATGCTCCTGTGATTTAATTCCTACGCGCTCCTACAACCACCTTGGGGCCGATATTTGCGTTATTCGCCCGGATTCAGCTCCAGCCGCGTTTGCAGCCCCTGCCGGTGCCCACACACAGTCCCTGCCGGGCTGGACTCTCCTTTTTGGGCTGCCCAGGAGAACAGAGTCCCTGTGCCCCAACCCGAGAGCAACAGGGGGACGATGCGAGAGGCTCCGGGGCAGAAGATGAGGGGGGATCCCAAGTTCCCCGAGACCCGCTCCCTGCCCGGGGCACCCTCCGACCGCTCCCTTCGTATTCTGCCC